GATAGTATGCCCCAGATATGTTGAGTTGCTTGAGGGTCAATCCGCAAAGACATGAATCGTCAAGGGAAGATTTAGAGACCAGCTGAATGAAAAGGCAGCCCCGCTTGAGTCCATTTTGACGAATACCGTCGATCACAACCGAGTATGTGCCCAAGGAGTAGCAATTGTGGCAGATATCATCTCTTGTGAAACCAAGAGCCGGGATGTCTTTGGGAATGTCTACTCCGGCGTGGTAGCATCGATAAATGGTTACCGGTAAGTTTCATCCTTGCTTTGACAACTAATGATGTCGCAAAGGCACTGAGGTCGTTATGGAACTAAAGCATTACAAGACAGTGCCGACGGTAAAGCGAAAATCAATCAATCTCTTGCCGGCAAGTCGACTTCCTTCCGGTGTACTGGCATTTGTATCATGACGCTTTTACTATTCTGTTTCCTAATTGCGAAGGCTGAATTTACAGACCTTATTACGAGAATACCGCAATCAAGTCCCACAGGAAACGACCGCACTGCGGCCTTGTGGGTGATCACGTGACTCATTTCTTCAGGAGGTGTTGGTGAAATCCTCTGAGTCATGTACGCCAACCGAGGACTCGACAACTTCTCGGCTATAATTTCTTGGCATCCGACCCGGGTCACAACCTCATCGAACATCCACATGCCCACCTATCTCCACAATCTGCCCAATGAATATCTACTGCGTCGGATCAATGAGCATCCAGGAGCATTGTGAGCCATGGCGCAAAGGAGGGCTGCAACATTACACACCTTTATCGTATTGACAAACCCGGAAGATGCGAAGGACTATCGATCTATGGTCTCGTCACATGTTTCAAAGAAGTTTGGTCGCCGACGCAAAAAAGCCAAACTTACCAATGTTGAACCCAGCAGTATTGTTCGAAGCTTTATTAACTGGAGAAATCATGATACCCCACATGGTCAGCGACACCAGCAATACCCGACGCGTGAGAGCGAGATTGAACAGGGACTGTCCGAAATTAAGACCGTGATCAGCAATGTGCCTGCAGGCCTGAAGTCAGACCCATCTCTCCAGCACCGTAAGTCTTTGCAGTATCGCAGACGACAGCTTCCGTGCGCGAAATGCAATGCAATAGTGATATTGTGAACAATGCGGTGTTTCTGACCATGAGGGAATAGATTTTGAAGCAAACCCGTCTCTTTTCCTTCCGGCACAGACGATGCTAGATGCTGGGAGCCCCCAAGCACATCAATTCTTCTCGGTCGTTGAGTTAAAAGAAGTATATCATGCTGTTATGGGCGTTCTTCATGGATGGCTGCATGTTCAGTTCCCATCACAGATCCCGCTTTCCTCCGTTCTATTCTACCAGGGGGAAGCCATTCCCCGTCTAAGGCGACGAATTTCTCAGGGCGTGCACGATAATGAGACTTATTTCAGTCTCCTGTGCGCATCACAAACAGAGGTACGACCAGATCTAATTAGTGTAATATGCGCGCGTCACTAACTAATCTAGGCGCTTTTGGGTAATGAAAATGCTCTTACGGTTCATCAAGCAGGCCTTCACGCTTTGTCTACCGTCATGAGAGGTACCTTGTATGAGTATTGCAAGATCATTAAGCCAAAGTAAGCTTATAAATCCGACCTGGGTAGGAGGTCTAAGCAAATTCACGATTTTAGGCACGATTTCTTGGTCACGGAGCTTGGCAAGCAGCCATTTTTTCCAAGTGAAGAGCTTGTTCAATCAACAGAGCCTCTTCACTACCTAGTTGCTCCATACCCAAGCAGTATAGTCGAAATACTTTGCACTCTTCCGATTGGTCAACAGGAAATCGCCTACCAATCTGGCGCGATTAGCCAAGAATTGATTGTAGCCTGGGCCCGTCAAGCAGGATGGACGAATCAAGCGCTTCACAACCTGTCGCCAAACGCTGTAGAGCATGATGTACGGTCCTCTAGTCCGTTCCATGAAATACTGAGTGACATGTGGAACATACTGCGGCGTTCCGATTCACGGACAACAGAAATCGAGAGATTTATGTGCGTATCGATATATATCGGGACACTGAGGCTTGGCTATGTCAAGTTCTTACAAGCCTCGCCAATATTTAAAACCTTCCGCGTTGAGGGATCAAGATTCCTTGGATACTATCAGCCCAACACTCAGGCCGAGTTCCACTGCATGATGCACTATAGCCTACATATCATCAATGCGTGGAAGTCGGGTCTCGTCCTAGAAGAACCCGGCCGGCAGATCGTCGCGACACTGAAGTCTAGGTTTCCCGAAACCCAGGACTGGCATAACATGGACGCCATTATAGCCAGGTTTCCGATATTCGAGCCCTGGCTCTCCGAGTATAAGTATAATTGGTTGCAAGCCTAGCGGTTTGTAGACAGGCACATACTGGCGCGTGATACCGTGGAACTGAATTGTGGAAAAGTCTTTTGATTTCTATTTGATGTCGTTTTTTCTTTGAGCTTTTAACATTACTAGTATCGTGACGTCTCTTTACCTTTTTTTCATTACCTTTGAACATTCTAGCTCGTTTACGAAGCATTAGCCACTATTTTATTCTACTTGTGTGAACTCTGTGTAAGATCTCTACAGCGTGGTAGTTGCGAAGGGCCCTGCATTAAGCTATTATGGTGAGCTGCTTCTTCTCTTTCGCAGTTATGTCCAGCACGGAGTACTACGGAGCATAAAGGATTCTTATGCCTACTATAATTATCCCTTTATAGCGACGTGGGTTTGGCAATTCTTTCTTTCGTATTTAAATTAATCCCTTGATAGTCTAGTACGCTTGCTTTCCTATTGTTAAACGATTGCCTTCGTCAGGATTGCCAAGGCTTTGGGCGCAGAAATGGTTGTGCTCAAAATCAATAGTGGTTATTGTTTAAAGTCCTCATATCATTATGAATCTAGCCTGAGATTGACCACGGACTTCTTGTGTTCAAACTACGATATGTGGCATGTCGTTAGGCGAATCCCGGAACTCCCACCAAAGGTCTGTGCAATAGAACATATTCAAAAGAGTTGAATGATTTGCTAGCCACGGGTTCTATCTACAATTCTTTAGTTCACATGTCTCAGTCAGAGATCCAAGTACGGGAGAGCCTCAAGCACAAGCCGACTTGCAATGAAACCTGATCAAGGCTTGCCCATGCAGGCGACATTGTCGCTCTGACCTAGCCGAGGAAGCGTAACTTGCGCAGGAACCATCCGCTGTAGCAGGATCATTTTCCTTGGCTAGGCTCGTCGAACGCCCAAGACCATATTCCGAAGAAAGCCGACATTATGCAGCTTGCTAGTGGACCAAATTTCTGTCTCAGGAAATTCGAAGGTGAAGCATTGCCCAATGCCTCCACAAATACAGTTTTTTAAGTCTGAACACAATGAAGGTCAGCAATCTATGCACATTTATATTGTTTTTGAGTTCCAGTAAAAGTTTCCTTGTGATAGTTTAATGTTGTTTGTGGGCGCCTCGGCTATCAAACAAGCATGCACACTTTTCCGAGGATCTATGAAATATGCGTTGTCCTCTGCGTTGTTGACAACATTGTCGTCGATCTTTTCCGGGTTTACTACTAGCTACGACTATAAGCTTAACAATATCTTCTGAATGGGACATAAAATCCTTGTCTTAACAGAAGGAACACTGTCGAGCTAATAGTCAATAACCACGCGCCCACTCTGCGTCTAATACGTTTAAGAACATTAGATAGACAACTGAAATTCTTAACAATTGGAGCTCCATTCAAACAGTAGTAAACTTGAACGTCTGTATGGCAACACCGTGGATCCATTGGAACGCGAAGACCATTAGCAATACCCCATCCCGGGGTAGACGTTGCTTCGATACCTAGGAGAGGAGCATCTTCTTCTCCAGCCGACTGGGTGTTGTAGGATACGTATCGGCCATGAATGCCAAATAAATCTCAAGGCCTTGCACCTACGCGACCTTGAGCTTATGTCAGAAGGACCACATCCACGATTGCCCCCCTGCACCTGGTCATATTCTGTGTAGATTCTATCAGATTTAGGTCCGCGATCTTATACAAGTGGTGGTAGGAGAGACGTGTCCTCGATTTAAAATTCCAGCCAGCATGTGTGTTAGTAATCACTGCTTACCCGAAGATGCCGATGTGGCTGCATGACCGAGAAAACCCGTGACAAGATGCGCCAAACTTGTCCGTGTTGTGATCTTTTTAGCGCACTGTACCCAATCAACTGAGAAGTTGATGCAGCTTTGGGAGATGTCCAATCATTTATTAGCTAACAGGTGCCCAAATTAGGCATAGTCTTTTCGGAGCGTTGTATAAGTATGCAATAACGCTTCAGGCTATCAAACGCATCCTTGACCGTGAGATCACGCCGAGGACTGTAGAGAGACTTGACTATTTATAAATGACACGACATTCCAATCAGTTCCTTTTAACTGCACTAACATGCTTCGCTTTGCAGATACCCGCGTGACAAATAACAGCTCCGCGCTTACTGAAATCAATCATGAGGAATACGGCCAGAACTTATGTGCAATCGTGTAGGTTATGGAGCTTTCACGATGCTGAAAGTGAGGCTTTTGGTGGTCTTCATACAATTGAAGGAGGACTTTGTGCTGAGGAGGTGAAAGCTTCTATCGAGCTTGATGCTACTGAACAGAACAAAATTTTGCGAAAGATAGACTATCGGCTCATCCCTTTACTGACGCTACTTTACCTGTAAGCTAACTCAGGGTTTTCCACAACTTAGCTAATGATACTCAGCATTTCGTTTATCGATAGAAGCAACATTGGAAATGCCAAGATTGCCGGAATGTATAAGGATCTCAATCTCCATGGGCTACAGTACAATGTTGCTGTTACTGCCTTCTTTCCACCATATATTTTACTTGAAGTACCCAGTAACATTGTACTCAAGCTTATCCGACCATCTATTTGGATTGCCATCCTCCTATTTAGCTGGGTAGGGTATTCTGCATTGTGAAGACATTGGAGACTGAGATACATATTTTAGGGCACTGTCATGACTCTCATGGGCCTTGTACACACTTATCAGGGCCTCGTGATCGCACGTGTTTTCCTCGGGGTTGCCGAATGCGGGTTTTTCCCCGCAGCAGTTTACCTGCTCACAATCTGGTACAAGCGATACGAGGTGATGCAGCGCATGGCCATCTTCTATGCAGCTACATCCCTGTCTGGCGCCTTTTCGGGCCTTCTTGCATATAGCATTCAGTTTATGGAAGGCATCGCTGGTCGTCATGGTTGGCAATGGATCTTTATTCTTGAAGGGCTTATACCTGTCAGCTTATCCGCCATTTTATATTTCATTCTGCCAGATAGTCCCAGGACTGCAACATTCCTTTCCAAGCATGAGAAGGAATTTCTCGTCAACCGAATAGCTCTGGAGACAGGTTCCGGCTTCGGTTGTGTGACGAACGAAGACCGACCATCATTTCAGCAAGTGAAGGCAGCTTTTAAGGAATGGAAGATCTGGGCTGCAGTCGTATGCTTCTGGGCGAGCTCCATTGGTATATATGGGTAGGTGATTATGAGTTACAGTCGTCGATTTGGCTAAACACTGTTCAGGTTCACTGCCACAGTACCTTCTATTGTCCAAGACCTCGGCTACACGTCCGCCAATGCTCAATTAATGACGATACCCATTTATCTCTTCGCTGTAGTTTGTATCCTTGTTGTCGCCTGTGAGTACTGCCTCTGGTCGTCACCTGCGACTGACATCTTCTAGATCTGTCCGAACGATACCGGCAACGTACTCCTTTTATTATCTTAGGATTCTCCATCGCCAGCGTCGGTTTGATCGGCATGCTTGTTACTCGTCGTTATGCTAGGATCGCTGGTGCTTCTTACTTCTTTCTATTCCTCGTTGCTGCGGGTTTCTATAGCCCCTTCATTTGTATTGTTTGCCTGATCGCGAACAACCTAGCTCCGTCATCCAAGCGTGCTGTCGGTATAGCGCTGCTCATTTCTGTTGGTAATGGAGGAGGTATTTGTGGTTCCAATATTTTCATTGCCACACAAGCGCCAACATACACCACTGGCTTTGGAACCTGCTTAGGGACTTGTGTCTGCGCCATCATTATGGCATATATCTTAAGAGTGGCATTCAAGGGAGAGAACAAAAAGCGTGACATCTTTATGGAAGGGAAGACGATCACAGAGGTTAAAGCAATGTTTGCAGAGCAAGAATTGCTGGACCTAGGTGACAAGAGTCCCTTTTTCAGGTATACATTGTGAGGGACCTAGGTGACAAGAGTCCCTTTTTCAGGTATACATTGTGAGGTACTCTACTTGCAAATGTTTGACCAATTTATAAAAGTATGCAGAGGAAGTTAGGAAGGGCAAGCACAGGTCCCTCTCTTTCCTGGAAGCACGAATACACTAGCAAAGTATATTTCACATGTGGCTTTGGTTTTGGAAGCAGGCTAGATGTATACGTATGGCTATTAAGTCACAACTTTAAGCACGAGGAGAGTATCCGGACGTGTTTGTTGTGCGGCTGCGCGCCTGTTCAGGCAAACTATCTTGCCAAAAGGTCTCAAATCTGACCACGAAAAGCCGGTCGACATGTAAGCAACAAGAAAAATGGCGCATCTTCAGAATGAATCAAGAGGACTGTTTCCCAAATTTGGAGATGAATTTACCTATTTGGAATGTGAAGCAGGAAACACCACACTTTATGTCTCACATGGAGAGAAAATAACCGGACTCTTCACCTCGTTGGACGGTGGGTGGCCTCAGATTCTATACAAACTATAAATGGTTATTGCACTCATACCCTGGTTGAAAAAAAACAGGACGCCTCTCTTATGTCGCTAGGGTTAGCCGCTCCGCGGATGCTCTCCTGTGGGACTTTGAATCCGACACGGGATGACTCCTTGTGCGTCCGGTAATTTACAGAGATCCGATCACTACCGATTTCGCTCTAATTTTTCCAGATCAAGCGAAACATTCACTACCTACTTGAAATTTCTTGGAATCGAAGTTCAACTCTTTAAGTGGTACACATTTACACATTTATCTCCTTACGATATGAAACCTTTGACATTCTTCGAATTTCAAAGACAGATCAGGAACTACCTTTAAAAGCATCATCTGACTCTATCCTTGGAATTTGACGGGGTACGGAGTGTATAATATGATACTGATTTCTAAGTAAGCAAAGGACAAGCAGATTTCTAATGGGAATCGATGGACTTGCCTAAAGTCACCACCATCATGATAGGTCACGATGTCCCTTGGTTTCAAAGATGTAGAAGTTCGTGCTAGTAGCATTGCATTGCAGACCGTTCCGATGTACTTGCTGCCATCAGAGATTGGTAAGGTATATCCCTGGATAGAACATCACATATATCCTGACACAGATGCCTATGTCGAGTCCGAGAGATCATGGCAGTTGATCGGTGGACTAAAGTCGACTAGCCAAGTATAAGTCACTCATGCTGAGAACGGCAGGTGGTCTTTATATATCTTACTCGCCCTGAATTCGCACTGCTTGGCTCAAGGCTTAGGTCATCCTTGGCCTTCCAGAGGCATCCAAGCACTACGGAGACAAACCGCCGCCCCTTCGTGTTGATGTCGGAAGGCATTGATGCGAACCCACTAAGATGATGAGCTTCCTATAATGGCATGACAGATCCACAAAGAGTAAATCTTACACGAGCAAATGACATTCTCACTTGGGGGTCTCAAGAACAAGACAAGAGCCTCGCTCCTTTCTCGCCTGAACATTTTGTCAACTATGCTTAAAATTAGACAAGCTGGAAGAGGCAGGTTGTAGACGACTATTTCCACATGCGTGGAATTTTTCTTCCTTGCAGCCAGTTCAAGTGAAGCCTATCAATACAGTGGAACTTCCGCACTTAGATTTCGATAATAGTCGGCCGACTACTGGCTATATACTTGGTCGTCGTCTTACGGTCCTGAGCGCGTTGAGAAATGTACCTTAGAAGTCCCAGCCTCAGAGTTCCTGATTGTGGTTCCACTGCTAGTTATGATTCTCTTATGGTTTGGTATGGGTTGCACATTTGATGACCAAGCCTCAAGATCGACGTAGGGCCAAGCTAGTCTTAGCGGCTGTTTAGAAGGCTCAACTTACGCTGAGGAAGAAGTTCTTAGTATCTCCAGAAGTTCTGTAGCTACCTTGGATGGTCTTAATCAGCTCCAAAGTAGAAAGCATCACGTTGCAGATTGTGTGGCGACTTGCGAGCCCAAGCTGGAGCTCAAGGGTCAAGCCGAAGGCACAGATAGTGGCTTACCGATGATTGTTGCTAGGGTAATGAGCTTTGGCACAAAGGCATTTTATCTATGGTTCTAAGAAAAACCAGATATGGATGTATATTGCATCCCTACCTCTTCGTATATGGACAATCACATGCACTGCCCCCGCCGTAACCTACGACCACTGGGCCACCATGACACCCAATATGACCGCGCCACTCCGCTTGGCATTTTCACGTCTCCCGCTTTGTGCGCCAATGCCTCGGACTGTCAATTCTCACCATAACAAGCCTGACCAAGCATCGATAGTCGACTCTTGTTCTAATCAAAGCGTGCATGTGATTACTAAGCATTAGGGCAAGCCTTCAGGGGGAAAGGGTGCAACTCTTAGTTAACGTCAACTGCAACCTTTATACGCCTAAATCAGACCTTATTCTTGAGCGAAAGATACATCTAGGCTATTTTATGACATAGGTTTGCTTCAGAGCAATTGATACACGAATCAACCACAACCTGATTGAGAACTTGTGTTCGGTTCCCCTTACAGTCATAGTGGGGGGCACAATGGCTGCAAACCCAGAAATTACGTCAGAGAGGATCACCACTTTCACCAACCCGAAAGAAATGGGCAATAGGAGAGCTCGCATTTTAGGGACAAGCAATAGAGCGAAACTGTTGCAATCTGGTAGATCCAAAAAGCAATCTTTTCAAAAGCACCCGATGGCCCAGAACTTCTTAAGTTGGAGAGTGGGACCAGCAGCACGCGGTGTATGCACTAGCAGAGCGCCAAATTCTGTGTCGAGTCCGATGAATCTTGTTTCGAATGGTTCAAATGTGGAAAGCCTGTCGCATTCCAACACACCTGAGGTTTCTAAAGGTTCTAGCGCAAAACCTGGCAGCCGCTCCGATCTAGGGAATACAAGGAAGACTCCGAGTCCAGCTTGTCGCAAGCTTAACAGCAACGGGGGACACCTATCCCAATCCATTAGGCTACCACGGACATTTAGCTCGCAAATGTTTGATCCTCTGAATTCCGTTCCAACGTGGCAAGGCGCAGATGTTGCTACAGCAATGAATCATTGTGAGCATGGCTGAGATTTACAAATCACTAAGTCTAATTGTGTAGATATCCATTTTTGGGCGCCATCTCAAAAACCCGGGTTGAAACATCAAATGCAAGACAATCCTTTGATTCGAGACATCTTCCCATATGCCTTGCAGAATACAGAACTATTCGAGGCCATTGTCGCGCTGTGCTTGAGTTCTATTGCAGCAGCCCGAGAATTTCAACCTAACTTCTACAACATGTCACTTTACCACAAGGGTAAGGCCATGGTGGCTATTCGGAAAAAATTGTTATCTGGGCACGTAAACGAAGCTGTTATCATAGCTACAGTTTTCCTAATGATGGTTGACGTGAGTACGCTTCTTTGGACTAGCACATAGTGCTAAGTATCAAAGAACATCTTTCTAGATGCGCTCGCCTATGATGCACACTTGAACGGGCTGCAAAAGATGCTGAAGGCGCACAAAAGGGGCAACGGAGAGAGATACAATAGCATCCTAGAGACCTTCGTGCTGTGGTATGACTCTAGAAAACTATCAATTTGAACGTTCTAACGCATAGTGTAGGGCAGAATCGAACGCACTGCTCATCTTTGGGGAGGGTGAACTCCCTATTTCCCTTTCCTCAGCTAAACAAAGCCTCCATTATCCGACATGGCCCTTCAGTATGTCGGCCATCAGCACGATACTTGGACTCCCATCTGGTTTTCAAAATCTCGCCATGGACGGAAAACTCTCCATTGAAGTTTTATCCATCCTCCAAAAGACTGTCCGATGGACAAACTGCATAGATAGGGGGTTTGGGAAAACTCCATGTGACCGTGATCAAATTTTCCTCTCTGAATTTGACCCTAGAGCGAATGGATCCTTGCTTATAAGGTGGTGTCGCATATCCAGCGAAAGTCATGACCTGGAAAGAACACTCTGCAAAGCACTTTTCATCTACCATGCCAACATTCTAAACTGGACCTGTCGTTGTGCTGGATACAAACGCATAATGGCCGAAGTCCTTGACGATGTGCGTATATGTGATCCTCATGAACGTTGGGAAATCAATTTTTGGTTATGGATTTCTCTACTTGTTGCTAATGGTGCTAGGAGAGGGGGTCAACAGCAAGTGCAGGCTGAGATTATGAGCAAATTTCTACGCTTGAATCAACAGAAGTATACGTGGAACTCTATAGAGGGCTTGTTCAGTGGGTATCTATTGCATAGCAGATTGAAAATGGAGTGGAAAATTTGCTGGGATATGGCAGAGCGAGCCGATGTATCGAGATATACTACTAGTTATTGAAAATCGGCGACCGACCCAAACTGACAGTGGTCCAAGGCATGAAGGCTTTCTATCAATCAATTCCGCGTTTAGACAGAGGAAGTGAAGAATAATGCAGTTCTAGAGGTCGCTCAATAGCCGTGACAATCTCGACCAAGATTGGCTCCACAGGATCTTGTTACATACAACCCAGTAGAAGATGGTTTTGTTAAACGGAAGTCACCACATTCAGGATTATGCCTAGAGATCCTGTCTCCGCAGGGTACTATTGATTAGAATTGCCGGCAGATCAATGGGAGCGAGAAGACACTCTTGAATTTGATGCTATGCACCAACTACGCTTCCCAGAAATATTATGTGGGTCAAAAATAAGGCTTCCTTTGCTGGTATGTCCATTCCCCCATCCCGTTCATTTCTATCCTGTCCTTTAGTAGTGTGGTTCTCAAATCCAAGTACCGTAAAACTGCTGTCGGCAAGATCTTGGAGGATCTACGTCGAATTTCTATCGAGCGCGTCCTGAAAGGGGCACGATTTCCTTCAATGAACCGTGTTGTTTAAGTTTTCTTGAGATTGAAGGCCAATTTCGGACGTCATTGATACTCGTTTCGGAACCCTTGTCAAAACCGTAGACTCATATTCAGCACAAGTTCCGACTTCTCCGCTCAGTCGCATGAGCACTTTCGGCAACCGTTCATGCAAGATAGCTGATCGATGTAAGGGTATAATGTATCTTTCCCGAACTCACCAAGTAAAATATAATTGGGTTGCAAGTCGTGTCTCGCTCTAAGAAGCATGTGCATAATAGGGTTTTCCACGCACCAATTTTAAATGGTGCAATAAAAGAGGATTTTAGGTCTTTGTCAATTGGAGACATACCCAATCAATTTTCGATTAACGGGTTTCTGATCTAGGTAAAGTCGCTCATTGACTTCGGAAAGTATAAGTGGGGGTCAAGCTTTACGAAAATGACTCATATAATCTTGCGCGATACGCACAAGGTTGCGAATAAAGATTATACTCTATTGGCATTTACTTTTCCAATAAACCTATGCTCGTCCTCCCCTACGATGAAGTTGAACAACTCCAGCCGCGACTTCTACAGGCTCACGGTACCCACGGGATGTTCGTATCGATGTTGAACATACACAAAAAGGACGAATAAGGCACAGGCGACGATGCAGACCCCCAGAAGTTGTTCTATGCAGAGCTATGTGTAGTTAGACGGAAGATTATCTGTCAATGCCATCGCATTGTTCAAATTTAACTTATCATTGGAGCATTCGTTCTAACAACTTCCATTCCCGCAGCACCTCCTCCGAAGTAACACTGCTTGTAAAAGCTGCACCTACTCTGTGCTCAAACTATACACCTGTAGGATATATCGTTACCACCAGCTTACGTATTCGGAAATACGAATGACCTTCTAAGATAACCTAGCCTATTAATTGAAATCCTCACCAATCTATAGAAGTAAGCAGCTCTACGAGCGTGCAAAGCAAATGTCTAAATATGTGCTCACATGCAATTTCCATGATATGCTAGTTGCTGATGCGCTTCAGGTACGTACTGGTAGATAATCGGTTGGCTTCAAAGTCGCTCATGGGTTGTAGTGGTAGTCGAGGTGCAGCAGGATAACCAAACTTCTCACACAGTAAGTATTTCAAGCCGGCAACCTAGATCCTTATATTAGTATTCGGTATAAATATTGTACCTGTAACTCACCCCCCCACTCAATAGTTCTGCTTCGGCCAACGACGCTAGTCCCTGAAGCTGTCTGGCTTTTGCCCAATTATCGCTACCATCAAGCACTTGTGTACTATGCCACAGAGCCATGGCGAAATACTATCCATCCAGTCAGCCAGCCAACGATAACTGGTGCACAAAGTGCTAACCGGTGCAATATTCGGTAAAGGGCTAATGGCACCGGCAGAGCCAACAGAAATCGATGGGAGCAGGAAATCGATAAACCCTGCAAATGTCCTGAAAGATCCATCTAGGACGCTCGTGATTCGCGCGACTTTTCCTACATTACCACAGCTGTAGAATCCATCAACAAATCGAAAAGCCACTGGTAATAGTAATTGCCTACGAAAGCATAACCCCCCGAATGTTTGAGGCTGTTCTTGCGACGTCCACAATATCATCGCTTGTTAGATCGACACCACCCGCAACCTGCGGGTAATTGTAGATGATCCTATGGCACCAGGCACATTAAGTAGCAGCTCGGAGCTGTATCTGAGACGACAAGGAGCATAGATTCACACATACACTGGTAGCGGCGATCTAGAAGCCACATCCACGAAGTATTGTTTGATTGCGTCTGGTTGCGCTCGCAATGTGCTTGAGTAGTAGCTCGGTAGAACAACGAGTGCGAAGTTGGCCCCAGCTGCTGCTGCATCCTCTGCAAGCTGAATCGTTTCTCGGGTACTTGTTGCACCCACACCAGCAATTATTGGCGTCTGGTGCAGATTATTCTTCCTAAGAGCCACTCGAACGGCTTCAATAAGCTGTTTCCGCTCTTGCCGATCCTATATTTTGTTAGCATATTGGGATGAGGATAAGTATTGATACAAACTAAATGTGCTGCTTCTCCCATTGTCGCCGAAACAACGGGAACAACTCCAGGTTTTGTAACAACTGTGCCGTTGAGTAAGCGGAGTGAAATATCATGGAGGATAATCAAGGTTATGGGGATGCTCTTTACATATAGCATGTTCTACGTAAGCCTTAAGGTCTGCAATAGCGTTAGCAATTTCCTGCGCCTCTAATTGAAGCATGAACGCCGACCTAGCTTGTCGTGTTTATCGAAGAACGCCGGTAGAGGAGCGTATACTCCTTGAGGGAGTATGTCCGCCATCATACTAAAATTATAATAAGTTAATTACTCGATGAAGTGACCACCAGACCGGAGTTATCGTAGTCGCTTTGCTCTAGGTTGATATATATGTGCATAACAGCAGTCACAGATCATCGAGTCATGGGGAACGTGTATTTTTCACAGAGGAGCAGGCGATTTAGCAAAGATTATCGGGTGTAAATTAGCTGTCACTATAGCCTAGCGCTAAAAATGAGACTCTGTGCATACAATACGAGCTGAACCGAATTGCCGGTCAAATCCGAGCTTTCCGAACCACTAACACAAGACTTAGGCAGAAGTGACTCGTATCTGATGTACCGTATCTGACAAATGATGAGCTCATCTGATTATAAATGTTCAATCTAAAATGCTGAATTGAACAGGAAGACGGTAGGGGTTACTTTACGATTCGACCACGGCCTACTGATGACACACTGCTCTGCTTACCACGAGCCAATCCCAGACGGAGGGCAGAACGGAGAACACTAAGGAGAAAAATGATCTTCTCCGAGGGGAAATGAAAACCAAGCCCCGCAGTCAGTGAAACTCCTATTCTCGTAAAGAAGTCGTGTAGGGAATACTTGTTCCACGATAAATAGAGCTGAAACTGCCAGTCCGCAAACTCCAGTAGCTTCTGCAATCTGCATTTTCAATCGAGTTTCTTACTTACTGCCGGAGCAGGCATCTATTTGGTGTGTTGGAAGTAATCTGCTACGAACTGTCAACGCAACTGTCTAGGTTTACAATGTCTCCAGCCATTCAAGGACGAAAAATTGCGATAATCGGTGCCAGCGGACAACTTGGGAAGCCAATTGTCCACGCACTCCTCGGGCTGGGAGTTCACACTATCACCGCCATTCAGCGTCTGGAGGCCACTAGTACTTTCCCGACTGGGGTTTTGGTCAAGCAAGGCAATCTCGACGACGAAGTTTTTCTTGCTGCTGTACTCGCAGGCCAGGATGCGCTTGTCCTAGTGCCCCCCATAACCCAGCTGATTCAACTTCAGGAACCCGCAATCCGCGCAGCTGGGAAGGTTGGAGTGCCTTATATCTTCCCATCCGAATTTGGCCCGGACCCATTTGCTGGACAGCTCCTGAAAGAAAACGAACTTCTCCTCGCGAAGAAGCGAATCCGTGATTTGATCGAGAAGCTTGGTGTCAGCCATTGGATTTCTATTACCGTTGGGCCCTGGTTGGATTACGGTCTCTTATCGGGCCTATGGGGTATCAACACTAAAGCGCGTAAGGCAACGATTTGGAAAGGTGCCGACAGCAAAGCAAACACAGCCACGATCGCACACACTGCTGAAGCAGCCGCGGCAGCTCTGAGTCTGCCAGAAGCCGATTTAGCAAAGTACAAAAACAATGCTGTCTATACTCCGTCTTTCTACCTAACGCAGCGGGAGATCCTCGATGCCGTCCAACGTGCAGAGGGAACGACTGACAACGACTGGGACATTCAGATCCACGACGTGAGGGATGTGGCCAGGAATTATGAAGAGAAAATCAAGCAGGGTGACCAGCTCGCGCCTTTTGAGAAATTCTTCGTGACGCACTTCTTAGATCGTCATGGGGGTGACTTCAATGACAAGGTCGATACAGTGGCACTGAAGAGATTGGAGCAGCTAGGACTCCATACAGAGGATCTCCATGAGGTTATTAAAGCAGTGTTATAGGAGCTGCAATCAAATAGGGTATTCCGACGGTAAAGCGGCTTCCCAGTTATTTACCTGGATACCAAAGTCCCAGACGTAAGTAAAAGCGAACGGCGTCAGTGGCAACCAGCACATACTGCCGTTGCTCTTGGTTGTATATTCCTCGACTGCTCGCATATAAGTTCCATATACTACCCATTTCCCTTTGCCTTCAACTTTAAGTCTAGATAGCAATTAAGGCAATTTCAGGCAAAAATTAAGGTGACAGGCTAGCATGAGCCCATTTACAATTTGGGCGAAGATTCAGGCTGCTGATACCAGCCAGAGCACAACCTCATTAGCCATGAACTAGGGTTGAATTTGACTCGTTTCATGGTATGTCATTATGTAACGCACAAATATCCAAAAATCTTGCTGAGCATTTGCAATTCTCAGGAACGCTACGTCCATCTAAAGTTTGTTGAGTCCGGCAATGATCTGGAACAACATACTTTTCAGCGCTATCTTGATATGATTTCATGTGCTTGGTCGCTACAGCAGCACATGCAGGTCCTGAACTTCGTTGCCTCTCTGTCGATGCGTGTGGTCAGCTGTTATTGCATATCATTAATTAACTTCACTCATTGATAGGCGAAATGTGGATGATTCCGGGATCCACGTTCGATTATTACTCGGCAGTTCGCGATATGCAGATAGTGAGAGGTGGATTATACAGACACAACTTGTAAGTTAGGGGGAGATAACAAGATGGAAATTACTGGTGAGGTACTATCGGTTAGTTTCAGTAGGCAGTAAACAGTAAGCCAAGGATTCTAGATTGTCGGTGCTTTGTGGTTGAGTATAGCGCAGAAAGCAGGTAAAGGAATTGAAGGTAAATGTTTGTGGCTGCAACTCACCGTGTAAGTTCGAAAACTACTACTGAGGAGGTTTGCAAGATTCCGTAGATTACTCCAGCTGTTAGCTAGTTGAAGATCTCTTAATAGTTCGAACTATAGTTCGGCACCCGAATAGATATCCTCTTCATATCAGTGCTGTACTTTTGTGGTTCACGTGGAGGATTGAAGAGACTATAGCTATAAGAAGCACGATGGCAGGGCGCTTGGGAAATCTGTGTTTTTCGCTTTACCACTTGAGGTGTATCCCCACCTCACAATCACGACTACCATAAGGCCAAAGTCGGTATTGAATGTCATCTATCTGTATTATTGCTTTGGGTGGAATTCCTCCCGAATATGACCCTACTTCAGCCAATCCACTAGCGTCAGGCAAGGATGAAATGTGGTTGTGGCCATCTGGTTTTGAAATATGCTCGCAGAGTATAACGGGGTATCAGTCGCCGAATCCAATGACGAATGATCATTTTGATTAGCGAAATCAGCTTCCTCAGTAGGCTCCGGCATAAAAATGTTCCCATGAAGGTTCCAATGCTCGGTATCAGTATAAGGGTATATCTGCGATTCGATTGGACGGATAACTCCTATATCCGGAATATAGTAGCCTTGGCTCGGTGGAAGTGGTAGAAATTGATCAGGAGAACATAATGTAGAGAGTTCAGGTGCTTGAACATCCATCTTGTTGACCAGGAAGGGTGAGCTACTGCCGCCGTGTAAACCATGTGACTTTGTTCTTTGCGTGAAGCCAGCATGATCGACAGTCAGCTTTTGCTCTAAAATACTCAAATCTTCTTCAAAAGCTTCATGTTTGCAATGGCCAGTTGGATTTGAAATTCCCAAAGAACTGAGGATCTCTTGTATCAAAGGCGGCCGAGGGCCAGTCTGTTCCACGGGAGCGACAACGCAACTCTGGCCATCGTGCACTCGCTTATATAATTCTCGCAAACCTAGTACAAGTTGGTGCTGTTGATTCTCGAGCACTTCGACGTATCTATACTAGGTTAGCAGTAAGAAGGACTGTGAATAATCCTACCTAACCACATACCCTTTGGGATAGGCCTTATCGTAAGGCTTCTTACGCTCCCCAAAAATACAAATAGCATTATCTGCTTTACATCGACTGCAAAAGCTCAAGCCGTCACACTTACGGTATTCAGAGTTAGCACGTACGGAAACAGAATCGTCCGCAATAGCTTACCTTCGATTTTTTCATGCGACATCGATCACATGCTTTATATACTCTTTTTCGACTTCCACCATGGAGGGTGTTCAAAGATACGATGTGTGGTGGAACGATATTTGACGCCATTTAGGAGCTTAGCTAGATGCAGGTGACGGCTGGGTTCGAAAATCGGCTAAGCGAACATGCACCAATGAGTCAAATTGTATCCTAGTGGTTACCGAGGACTGGTGATATGACAGTGTTGCAACAGAAGTAGCACTTTTAAAGACCAGGAGAAGATGAAGATGCTGGGGTTGGCGAAGTTATCGTGGACCAAAGTGCGAGTTAGGAGGGTTTCGAGCTATGATACCAAACATGGTCAGATGAGCTCCGCTTATCAAGACTTCAGCAGTAGTAAGAGTCGAACCGGTGGGAGCAGAAGACAAATTGTGCTTTGTTCTTAAGCAAGTCTGACAAAGATACGAGGAATATAATAAGTTTGAGGATTGTACTCGTGATACATTCGACGAGCGACATGTTCGGGGTACCATGTTTGGCTCGGATATACGCCTTACTACTTGAAGACTCCTGACGATAGTAATGGAAACTAATCACCCACGAAGGATTGAATCCAATTTATTCTTGGGTAGTCCCTGTCTTGAGTACCGATGTGGTCCACCCTTTATGCTCATTTATATCTCGTAATGCACGTTCGCGAAGCTTAAAGATCGGAAAACCCCTGGAGCTGGAAGAACTTTCATCCAAAGATATATCTTACCAATAGCAAACCACGTATCATGCGTTGTTATGCCGGATTTAGCTAGAATGTCAAGAATAGCTCGGACTACTATTGTGATTAAAAGCCATGACTCAAGGGGGCAAATGGGAGCTGGTGCACTATGACAAATAGAGTAAGTACCAATAATAAATATGATTGGTCGCATGTGGAGAAGTCAGCTTATGTAAAGGTACATGACTCGGCATTACCCGACTAATTGCGAGTCTGAATGGTTATTGAACCAAAGCAAGATAGAATGGTCCCGTTTCAATCACATGACGCCCTTGATAGTGGCACCATCGTGCTACTCAATGCCAGGACTGACTTATGTCTACGTCTTCCACAATCTGCATTAATCCCCCGAATCGAACAATGACATTAGCGAAAAAGTCCTATTCCAAATAGTCAAACAATGTTTCGGTTCGCTATCGATATTTTGGACATACTATTGTACATTCAGCGGAATCTATGTGCCGACCGCCTCAAGCAATATAAGAAAAGCGATACGGGATAGGTGGTAGCAACAAAGGCAGCTCCCAAAAAACCAGGTAAGTCTTTAAATGCTAGTTGGACTTTATGTTAGCAAAACTTCCTGCGCCTAGGTTCTTTGGTTGGTGTTCAGCTTAGTGATGTTGCTTCCGCACCATTGGGCACCAGGGAAGAGACTGGGTGCCGAAGACGCCGTGAGGTTGTTTGTAATCACCCAATTATACTTGAATTGAAATCTTCCTCCATTAGATTATGTCTTCCTAATATTTTCTGTAACTACTAGCTTATACTTAGAGTTTCTTTTCATATTGAATATAAAATCTCAGTCGTTACTCACATTTGCTCATCTCGTTGCTTGTTGAGTTATAGAACAAGATATCAAACCTACAAGCGCCACAATTAACAGCCTACCGGATTAACAAGAGTATAATTTGCCATTATTTAAGTTTCTCGCTATATTGTCTCTTTAGTGCTTTTCTCTTGAAGACTAAGCATCATGGCAGACAACGACAAAAAATTGATTCGTCTATCTTCAAACAACCCAGCTATGACTATACCTACGACTACAGCTTTCCCACACACGTCATCGACAGCGCGCGAAATATTACGTCCATCGTTTCTGACAACGCCAGTCTCCGCTTCTAGCCTCGTGGGCGAAAGGGCAAGCAACTCAATATTGATACCTGAAGCATCACAACCTACAATTCAACATCGATGCAACGACAACGTCGGCTGGCGCCGTGTCGTCCGCAACTTCTCTCCTTCCTGGTTCTCCGTGACCATGGGCACTGGCATAGTCAGCCTTCTGCTTATCGCTATTCCCTTCAAGGCAACCTGGCTCTATTGGCTCTCTGTCATCTTCTTCGGCCTCAATACACTTCTCTTCTCCCTCGCGTTCCTTATATCTATTCTCCGTTACACGCTTTACCCTGAGACTTGGACCTTTATGATCCAAGATAGCACCAACTCCCTATTCCTTGGAACATTCCCAATAGGCTTCGCCACACTCGTCGAATCCTGGCTTCTCTTATGCTGTCCATACTGGGGCCGTTGGTCTATCTCTGTTGGCTGGACTTGCTGGATGATTGACTCCGTCGCTGCGGTGATCATTACAATTTCTCTCCCTTTCATTTTGATGTCTCAGTCCCATCAGCAATCTCTCGACCGCATAACGGCTGCACAACTACTGCCCATTGCCGCTACGGTCGTGGCAAGTGGCTGCGGCGCCGAAGTCGCTGAGCTCCTGCTCGAGCACAATCCAAACCACGCCCTTGGAACTTTACTCGCTGCCTACGTGATGTGGGGCATGGCCGTCCCCCTCGCCATGTTCGTGTTAGTGATGTACTACCAGCGCCTCGCCTTGCATAAGCTCCCATCACGAGAAGTCGTTGTCTCTTCCTTCCTGCCTCTCGGTCCTCTTGGAATGGGTGGTTATGCAATAATGTACTGTGGCAAAGTCGCCCGGCAGGTTTTTCCTCGAGTCGAGTTCTTCCAAAACCTCCATATGGCAGGCGACATAGCGTGGATCCTAGGCATATTCGTCGCATTCATAATGTGGGGTTTTGGTCTGTGTTGGCTTGTCTTCGCACTCGCAACGATATGGCATGCACGGCCATTCCCATTCAATATGGGGTGGTGGGGATTTACGTTTCCGGTTGGGGTTTATGCGGTTTGTACAATACAATTTGGGGTAGAAATG